CCCCCCCGGGGGAGGCCGGCGGGGGGAAAGCCAGCACATGGAAGCAGAGCGCCTGTCGCCGTGTCCCTAGCGCTCCTCCTGCCAACGGCGCTGGCTGGGCGGCACAGTCCCGGCTGGCAACGCGGGGCAAAGCCAACCTGCAAGGCAGCTGGGTGCATCGGGATCAGCAGACGGAGGCTAAAAGTATCTGCACGTACCCTTCAGTATTTACAGGTATACCCACCTTTCAGTGCCAATGAATAAACACGGTTAATAGTGCAACATTTATTCAACTGTAAAGACAAAAAAATGCTTAATCTATGCTTTAAAAACTGCTTATTTTGTACAACACTTGGGACAATTCAGGGCAGCTATGATTCCACACGCATGAATTCATGAGACACACAGGAAATCCAACCAGCAGGTTATTTTTTCTTGTAATTTTTGTGAAGTACTTCAGAAAGCACTTAGAGATATAAGTGTGTAGGAATATACTTTCTTCTGAAAAGAATGACCTTTCCTTTACATTCCACTTGCTCATCAGCCTTCACTCAATGCAGCATGCCATGCTGTACAGTTGCTCAATGCATGTTCATAACAAGAAGTCCTAAAAATCACTATCATTTCAAGAACTGCTTTGTAGGTCTATTTCCTGTAACAGCTGTATTATTGACCCTGTCCCCAAATTCCCTGCTGCACAGCAACTATTTCAGAATCTCATCCAGTTCCTTTACTACACATCAACTACTGTGCACCACTAGAAGGGGAAAAAGAAGAGGAAAGATGTAGAAACTTGGCTCATTTGTTAAGAGAGTAGCAGTTACTGCGAATGGGGGCTCTCACTTACATCGGGGCAAGTTAAGATGAATTTTCCACCACACAGCCAGCTCTAATATTCTTTGTCATTGAAATTACAAATTAACTGCAGTGAGGTACCTTCGCTGACTCTATTCAAAAACAGCTGAGGCACAAGAGCCCAGCAGCACCATACTAGCACTGCTCTAGAACCAGCTCCAGCTTGGAAACAATTGTTAACCTTTACAGGCAGGTTGTATCTGTGCAAGTAATAATTCAAAATGCACCTGAGACACCCAAATGGCTTTTCAAGAAGCCGCTTAACACTGGCAAGCGTGAAGGTAGGTGTAAGCCCATTTGGTGAAAAGCCATACAAGTTCCTCTGTGTTCAGTCTGCTGAGTTGCATGGTAACAAACTTCTGGTATCATCTAGGGTATACCAAAGAGTTACCTTCAAGAACGTTTTCTTACCAGGAGCTTGCATCTCTAAGGAAACAAAGTGCCAGCAGAACTGAGTAAGGAAGGATGAAAAAAGCTGTGATAACAGATAACACAAGAATTCCTGTTGCAAAATAACTGAGCAAAGAATACAGTTTTTCTGTCAGCAGGTGGGCTTTTGAGACCCAGGTGTTAATTTGCACGCTTACCGAAAACTCACCTCTGTCTGTGCCAAAAAAACCTGCTGTGAGCGGAGAGTGCCAACCAGGCACAATATTGCTCCACCACCCATCACTTTCCTCTAGATTAAAGTGTGTGTGGTTACAGCCAGCACAGAAGTGCCATACGCTGAACTCCAGCCACAGCAGACTATTTGCCACAAACCCTTTTCTCTGTTAAATAACATGTCCGTCTCTTGAGTTTTCTGTTTCACAGCACAGCTGAGGTTGGAAGGCTCCTCTGGAGATAACCTAGTCCAATACCAATCCCACACATCCCCATGTGTCATCAGGTTTTGAAGGAGCCTCCACAACCTCTCTGGGCAACCTGCTCCACTATCTGGCCACCCCCACAGGAAAAGTTTTTTTGATGTCTAACTGGATTCTTCTGTATTTCAATTTGTGCCCATTGCCTCTTGGCCCATCCCTAAGTCTCACTGAGAAGAGTCCAACTGTTTTTACTCCCCATTCATCATATAATTTATAAACATCGGTAAGGTCCCTCCTGAGCCTTCTCCAGGCTGAGCAGTCCCAGCTCTCTCCGCCTCTCCTCATACAACAGCTGCTCCACTCCTTAATCATCATCACAGCCTTCTGCTGGACATGCTCCACTAAGCCTGAGTCTCCCTTGTACCAAGGAAGCCCAGAACTGCAAAACAGCACTCCGGATGTCTCACCAGATCTGAGAAGAAGGGGTCACCTCCCTTGACCTGCCAGCAACACTCTTCCCAGCGCAACCTGGGAGACCACTGGCCTTTGTTGTAGGCCGGCTCATGATCAGCTTTTTACCCACCATGACCTCCAGCACTTTTTCAAAACTTGCTGGAACACTAGCTTCCTCCTTCAAAAGAGGCCACGCTCAGCACACTGGCATTGCCCAGAGTGTGGAGGTTTCTTCCCCACCACACCCTCACTTCACCCACCTCCAGAGGAGAGCGCTGGCAGGAGTCCCAGCCCACGGCTCAGGCCTGACTCAGCAGAAGGGAGAGGAAGGAAGCTTTTTAGTAGCGAGGAACAAGTTTAGCAAGTTCCCAGGACTATCAAAGAAGTACTTTTACGGTAAACGCTTTACTAGAAGCTCTTATGAAAGCTTTTCTAAGTTGAAAGTGGGAGATTAAAAAAAAAAAAAGTCCAGTTCTTATACTACAGAAAGCAATTTATGAAGAGCGCAAAAAAGCATGCCACTTGAAGTTCTCTTATTTTCCCAGAGGGATGTAGCAATATGAATAAGGCGATGTCTCCCCAGTCAAACCTGCAAAAGTATTCATGTATCACCATAGCCTGTAGAAAGATTATAGTCTTTTATTGATTTCTTGTTTTACAGATTCAGATTTAACTTTCAATAATAAAGTTCAATAAATTGATTCCCTAATCATAAAAACTTGTTTTACACGTTATGTACAGGTACCCAGAGACTACAGCCGTACAGCATGTCACAGCTACACCACAGACCTTCACAGAGAACAAGCCGGGGAGAGGCGCTAACTGCAATGACATACATTCAGAGATCAAGTCGCAGATATGCACAGTGCATTTGGCACAGCTCACTGAAGATTGTCCACACAGGGACAGTAAAATAATCCCAACTAAGTGATAACATGGATTAGTTCAACTACATTAATTCCAAGAGGAACACTTAATTCACAATTAAACTAGCCATCAGGAGAGATTTGATTAAGTTGAATCAAATGCAGCTGAACTAATCATTTTAGTTTCATTAAGCATCCCTCTATAGACCTTGAGATCTGCCTCCAATATAAAACAAGTCTTCATAGTTGAGATATGCAGAAGTTTGAGGACCAAGGGGAGCTCAGGTATTAGAAGTATTCTTTGGCAGGCTGATACAAATATAAAAAATAAATTACTTTTGAGGACTAAACTAAGCTTTTCCCAATTTTTCTCTTTACTACCAGCACCAGAACTGCTTCCGTGACACAGTAACACTTACATATGCTAAGTTAAACACAACCTTACACTTTAATGAAACAAAATTCGTATTACTGATAAACTTCAATACTCAAGATAGCCTCCAACAGGCTATCCGCTCCCCACAAAAAAGTTAAGTTTAACATTCAGGGAGAAAACTTTCCTATGGCAATGACAGAACCCAGGGAACACTGCACCACTATTCATCTCTGCAATACAGTAACTGGCAAACATCAGAGACCAGTCTGCAACAGGCAGCCAACTGTACTCTGAGTATTCCAGCTCAAAGAATGTTATTTGATGTCAAAACCATTAGTCAATTGATTAAACATCCCTTTATGAAGGATGTCTCAAACTTTATGAGATAAAGTTGACCACAGCATTCTCCCATAACTGCAATCTGCTCTCGGTATGACAAAAAACTGCAGCTAAGAGTTTCTGCAATCCGCTTCATAACATTACACCAAGCTGCAACAGTTACAACACACTGTTTCACACAGAAGCAGACATTCATTTAAAATCTGGCAATTCCTTTTTAAAAGTAGTTGTTTTCCCTGCTAGTGACATGCCTATCCTGAAGGAGATAAAGCCAGACTCATTTTGAATAGGGGGAGGGAAAAAAACCCCACCACTTCCAGAATGAAGCATCCAACAGCTCTACAGCCTGCAGGGCAGAAGGCTGCAGTATTAATGTTTGTCTCCAGTAATACAGCTCAAAAGATATTGCTTTGTCCAAATGCTGCTATAAAGACTTTCAATTTCAAATTACTTCCAACAATAGGAATGTAACCCAGCATTCCACAATGAAGACCAATTAGCTAATACATCTACTTAGTTATCTCAGTTTTGAGATATTGTAGTATCACTTCATCTTCTTTCTTTTCTGCTTCGGACTCCCATTCAAACTTCTAATGGGCAATTCAGAACCAACCTAGCAAAAGGCTGAAGCACACTCCCCTGCTGGGTACACCAGTACAAGCAACCATGGAAGTCGACCTAGTGCATTTTGAGATTTTTCAGCAAGTGATGCCAGAGCCTTAGCCAGCTTGTCACCTTAAGTGAGAATTTTATGGGGATAGATACACAAATAATACATAGTACTGTTTATGCTTATTCCCTACAGAAAACTGACCTGATGCTAAGAGAAGTTTCACTCAGGGCTCTAGGAATATTTTGATGTTACCTCTTAAAAAAAAAAAAAAGAGAGAATGAATAGTGCTACACAGACTGCCTAATCCACTTACCGTAGAAGCTCCCATTCTTTTTTACAGAATCTTCTCAGTATTTGTAGCTTCATACCTACTGCTGGCTTAGTCATCACAGCCAAGTAGCAGTCTCTGTTCTCATAGTTAACAACAGAACTGAAGATAAGCCAGGTGATTACCTCTGAAATGCCTGACCACAAAGAATTAAAATGAAGCAAGCTGACATGAGAGTTCTTCCTTAGATTTAAGAACTTTCACGGCATGGAACTCCTATTCATGTTGTCCTGTAGACTTCACAAGACTTAATTCTTGCATGTTCTTTTGGTCACATGAACACAAAAGTAAGGATAATTCAGCTTTGCTTGTAATAACTGTCTATTTCATAAAGGTAATCTGTGAATTTCCCCCTCCCCATAGATTCTCACGCATTCACACAGACTCTCTAGAAAGGTAAGACACTTTATTGAATTTGTTGATAAATTAAGAAAGGACTATGAACCAGACATATGGGTCACAGGTGCTTGTAAACAGACATCAATTCCTTCTCACAGAAAGTCTGACTCCATGTGCTCAGCCAGAAGTCACTTTCCCCAGCGCTGCTCACAGGCTGCATAGTGATGGAGGGCAGAGAAAAAGTCTTCATAGCTGATGTTCAGGTGGGAAGGCAAAGAACTAAGAAAGCAAGTTAGAAAAGTTAAAATAAGCTTCTATAAACACCACATGATTTGTACGGCCAGTCAGGAATATCACTAATTAAAGCAAGATACTATCTGAGTAACCTTGTGAAGTTGTTCTCAACACTGTTACTGTCACTCAACTCTGTTAACTAAACTAGCTGTTGATATCTTGTCACCCTCTAAATCAAAGCCGACCCATTAAAGCATCTAGGGCACTTCAAATTAGTGAGAAAGCTGGGGCAGCACAGGTCTGTCCAGACATTTAGGTGCCCCACGACTGCTCTCAGATTTAAGAAATAAAGCAACTCTAGTCAGTTCAGTTATTGCCAAAATTGGAAAGTAATCCAGAGGCATGATCATCTTACATTATCCTATTTCCCCTACATCCTTAGTTACCCTTAGAAACCTACAAGCCACTCAAAATCCACATAAAGAACACCAACAGAACTAATACTGGACTGCTGAGACTAGGTAGTGACAGAAGTTGTTCCTTAAACCTGAGGAGTAAAGCCTGCTGTTGCCTTATCGTGGTTGAAGGAGCAACAATGAATGTTTGACAGGTTTCATTCAAGAATTTTTAAATATCCTCAAATCAATTTCCAGCCACTTTTGTTTAGGCAGGTCTCCTCTGATGGCTATTTCCATAAGGTAAGTCACATAAGGACTTGTTTAGCTAGATATCATTCCAACCTGTTTCACAGTATTCATAGGTAACTCACATGATCTCTGTCAGTCTGATGTGCCATGGAAGGAATCCTAATGTGCTGTCCACAGGACCAAACTTCAAGACTAAATCAGGATCAGGAAATCCATTTGTACCTGTAAGAACATGTTAAATTAGTTTGTTTTTTTTCCCCAAATTCACCAGAAGATTCATTTTAATTCTAAACCCTAAGGCATCTGCTTTTTCATCAAATGCATTTTTAATGAAGTGAAGCTCCTGAGGACAAGGTAACAATTAAAAGCCCAAGACGACAGGCTGGTCTTGCACCACCTGAACAGGACCAACTGAGCAAAAGCTGAGGCAGCCACTGCAGGCCTAGCTGGACTGTTACTTTTATGTTAGATAGTTTTCAAAGGCTTGGTAAGGTACTATTAGGAACAGTTACGTTGTTTTGAGTAACAGCAAACCTTAATACTGCTGTTTAAACTGACTTGTTCTAGTTTTGTCTTGGCAAACTTGATTTCAGTAGCATAGAACATGCTGTACCGTGACATGCTGTACCTACTACAGTCCTAACTCAACTATGTGGAGTTGAAGTCAAGTAGAGTAAAAGGACTATTAACACAAAAAAAACCACACTTAAGGAAGTTGCACTGAAAAAGAACAAATTGCTATCACAGACCATCAAGAAAACAAGTTGTAAAAAAATACCCTGTCAGATGAATTGTCCGTTTCTCAGCATGGAGCTAGACAGAATTTTAAAAACAACTTTTACTATCAGACTGTTGCAGGTGACATCTTTCTGGTTAGATGAGTAATGAAGAACAGGGAAATATTTTTTTCCTGTTACTAAGCGGACAGATGAGCCATGCCAGGGCAGGGCTAGATAACACTGAAGGACTTCACTAGGTACCCACACTCTTACTACCCATACTTTAAAATCCATCACTGTCATTCCACTAGTGAGAGCATCCTACTGATCTTCTGAGGTTGAAGGCAATCGGTGACTAAACACTGTCTCCCTTCCATATACTTCTGCCATGCCTGAGCTACTCCAGGCTAAAACTGACAAGACAGGCAACAAGAATGAACAGTCTTAGTCCAACTTTCCCTGCTAATTCTAGGAAGTTGATTAGGGCAACACATGAAAACCAGTATAGTACCAAGGGGGACTCAAGAAGGTAAGCTGTTCTTCATGCACCTACCTAGCTCATCTGAAAAGCATTCCAGCAGTCATAACTCTCTTTTGTTATAATGCTGCAATTAGTTATGATTATTGCATGCTATTTCTTGTTACTCCTTCCATTATCCACTAATTCTACAAGTTAACTGCAAGAGTGCTTATATTGCATAATGCCTACCTTTAGCAGATAAAGTTTAATATTGCCTATTTGCTCTGAACTTCAGATGTTATTTCTCAATTCTTTTCTCACTTGTTTAAAACAAACAAACAAACAAAAAACAAACAACAAACCAGTCAAGAGCCTTTTACAAGTTTAAGTTTAGTTGTAGAGGAACTTAACTTTGGGAATAACAGAACAGGAAACTGAAGTCCTAGCAGATTTTGCTCCACCCAGGTTTTGAAACTGAAGCTGGAGATTTCAAAAAAGTTCACATCCTCCCTCCCCACTGAATCATCCCAACAGTAATCCCTTTACCAGAGGTAAAGCAGCTATTTTCCCAAGCATGTGCATTTGTAAGGAAGGATGAAGTATTTAGGTATGAGCGCCTTGTGTCACAATCCAAATCTCATCTCAAAGTTAAGAAAAAATTATAAAGCAAAAGCCACTTATGTGTTCAGAAGCTAGCATGTTAGTATGAAAGGGCTTTGCAGGGAAGCAGTAAATACTTAGAAGTGGGGACTCTAGAGGAAGTAGACAGCTTTACTCATCAGCTGATTCAGTAGCTGAGTACTCCTCAGCTGGCCAGTTCAGCAGCAGGATCTTCAACACTGCAATGGCTTTTCAAACAGGAAAAGACCTTCAGAGCGCCCAGTTAATGCTAATATTTCCTTCTGGTTCCTATCTGAAGGAAAATGAAAATGTAGACTGTAGTATTACTGTCAGAACAGCCTATTCAAAACACAGTACTGTGCTTGCCACTCTGCATCCATTTCTCTACCTAAACAAATCAACACTACAGATACTTTACATATGGAAGCTCCCTCAGAGCTGCTAGAGTTACAGCACTGTTCAAGTTTAGTGTACACAAGATAGAAGGATTTGGGAGCAGACTCTGAAGGAAAAAAAAGGCCAAAAGACTTGGACACTCAAGTGGCAAGAGGAATCTGGCAACATCCCTTCTAGGTCAGGAGTTCTGTGAGGTGAACATGAAGCAGAGCTGACAGCACTACCCTTCTCTTCTCCACATGGGTTTTATAGGGCAACTTGAACAGCCTTAACTGATAGTCATGTTCTTTACTGGGAAGGCATGCGGCAAGTAGAGACAATATTATAATGCAGGTGCTCCCTACTTTGCTGAAAACTAGCTGGTTACCTGCGGCATTGCTCAGAAGCAAGTACTCTTACACTGAAGAAAACTCAAGCTGTAAGAATTAGAGCATGACTGGATTAAGAATCAGAAAAGCCACATGACAGGCTAGAGCCATACCATTTTAGGACTAAACTTCAGTAATTGCATCCCAAATATGAACAGAAAATTAAAAAAACTACATTATCAGTTATTTAAATCAAAATGTGAAAAACCAGAAACTTACAGACATTGTCATGAACACAAACCCTAAAAATACAGCTACTCAAGTACTGCTTTTCAGAACTCACTCTCAACTTAGATCAGTAACTCACAGATGTTTACATTCAATACCTTGCCATTAAGGGTGCACAGAAACTAAATTCGCGTACAACTAAAATGATTAGTTTCATAAACTGCTGCTAAATAAGTCATGAAAGAATAGTTCTTCACCTCCAACTGTCCTCAACATTTAAACCAAGGAAATTAATAAGCAGGACTAGTCAAAGATACTATCCTTAGTTATTAGCCATATAGATTAAGCAGCCTGTCTTCAAAGTTTACAGTTTTGACAGATTAAAAGTCTAGGAGATTTCTCCTTCTGTGCTCAGCTAGCATGCATCACTTGATGAATACCTCTGCTCCATTTAAGACTGGACCTAATACTTTCAACATATCCAGACACTTAAATGCACAGACAGAAGATCACGAACAAATGTTTGAAAAGCTCCTGTTAAACATCACTGGCCAAAATACATACATGGATATCAACTGTGACCAGTTCTTCGCAAAATTAGTTTTAAAGAGGCAATTAGTCATTTCCTTAAACTGCCTTTGGGGTATAGCAGGACAGATGTTTAAGTTACTTCTTCAGGTGCCTTACTAAATACATTTAATAATTCCATTACAGTGAGTAGCTATTATGCAGCATGCTGACAGCAGGGATAGAATTCAGTTTGAAATTAAGATTAAAGTGTCCAACAGCCACAGTAGTTAGTCTTCAGAGCAATTCAGCCAACCACCCATTTGAAAAAAATCATCACTCTCTAAGGTCCAATTACTGGGAGCCACAATAATGTGTCTGCAGACATCTAAGCTGAAGTATACAATCTGAAGCCTGAACCCTGCCAAGCTAATTACAGCTGCAATTAACATGCATGGATCACCTAGGAAAGCTGAGCAACTATTAGAGCTCCATAGCACCACCGGGGAAGTGGAGGCTTGTTCTAAAGTACTTCTCCCAGATGTGAGACTAGGGCAGCCTTGCCCTTTCCACAGCTATAGCATGTAGCCATACACCTCAGTGCAGAGTCAGTAATCTGCATAAATTAGTAATGAAGATAACTAAACTAGTGTGGGTTATACAGCAGCAAAAGATCAGCAAGTGCTCCACCATTTGCACTCAGAGTGGTAGTTAGGCAGCAGTAACAGTTTTAATTGCTGTAACTAGGTCCAGGAAACACTCTCTGCCCATACCCAGGTTTGCAGCATGCTATCTTTCAAGAAGTTAACTTATAATAGTCTACTTCCAGGGGATCCCAGCAGTATTTTTTTCAGAAAGCTCACTGCAGAACATCCCACAGAGGTTGCAAACTCTGAACAGCTGAGACTCTCCATTTTAGCTTAAGGTTTCCTTTTTCTGCTTAAAGAAAAAGCTCAAAAGGGAGTAAACCTGTAAGAAATTTTTAGCAGAAGCCCAAAATCAATAATCATAACTTACCCTGACAGACTAAGCAACAAGATGCACACATTCTAAGCAAGAAATATACAAGAAACCAAATCCATTATGAATCG